TTCATTATGTTTAATTAAATATTTGTGACAGAGTTAGGCCAAGTTCACTACCGTTTAATAGTTGTTTTAATAATTAGGTCTTTTTTTGTAAAAAAAAAAAAAAAAGTAATATTTTGAAATATTATTACAATTTTGAATAAATGTTTTCTATTTAGAAATGATTTACAATGTGATTTTTTCTTGTGATGGCAACGCTGAATTTTCAGCATCATTACTCTAGTCTTCAGTTTGATGATCCTTCAGAAATCAGAATTAGCAAGAAAAAAAACAGTTGTGCTGCTTAATATTCTTGTGTAAACTGTGATACCTTTTTACTCTATTCTTTGATGAATAAAAAGTTCAAAAGAACAGCATTTTTTTTAAATAGAGACCTTTTGTAACATGATAAATGTCTTTACTGACACTTTTGATCAATTGAACGTGTCCTTGCTGAATTAAAAAAAAAATTCTTTACTGACCTCAAACTTTTGAACACTATAGTGTAGATTTAAATTAAATGTAGATTTACCGTCAAAGAGTGTTGTATGCTTTCCTTGATTAATTAAATTGTAAAAATGTGATGCTTTTAATAATAATTCCGCTACTAAACTAAACAAGAATTTGGTCAATTCATGTTATGTGTGGTTGCAAATGAAGTACATTTTTGATCAGTTAGATCAGAGAGCGGTTGTCTTTTATCCGTTGACAGCCCAAGGCTCTGTTCATCCCATAATATTTATTTTCACGCCGGCATTAACATTGGGGTGTGTAAACGCAAACTTGTTTGTTGTTCCAATGATAGAACAGCTGCACATTGAGTCATCATTTCTGTCTTGTGTTTATTATGACTGAGTTTGTGATGTTGAGTTCTAAATCATGTTGTGCACTATTACTAATTTGTCAGAATCTTTTATTCTTTAAAACCTCCAAGAAACTCTGCCTGTAAGTGCTTAAAAGCTTCTGTCAACTCTCTACTGCAATCTTGCCACATTCCTCTCTTGAAAAAGCTTCCAGATCACTGATAATCTTTCATATTACCAACTGCTTTCTTCAAATTCCAAAAAATATTTTCAATGAAACTTAAATGTGAAGACTGTACAGGCTACTCAATAATGGCGCTTTTCCATTACCAGTACCAGCTCGGCTCGGCTCGACTCAGCTCGCTTTTCGCTTCGTTTTCCATTGCAGACCGACACAAATAGTACCCGGTCGTCATAGCTCCTTTCATTCCTCGTTGCCCCATCAAGCACTCGCTGGATCCTCTCTTCGGCATCCAAACAAAGCAAAGTCTGAACCTCCTCGTTTGACCACGGCGTATTCTTCAGAATTGCCATAATAATATAGTAAGTTTAGTAACTGTCTCTGGCCAAACTATTTAAACATGGCGGGGTTATTCTGGATACTCCATCTGGCGTGTGTAATGATAACGCAGTGAAGGGTGACAATTCTCTCTGACCAATCAGCAGTTGGCATTGTTTTCACGTGACATTTTAGTGTCGCCTTAGCTCGCTCAGAACCTCACCGGAGGTGGTACAAAAAAAAGTACCCGAAAGCAGGTACAGGTACAACTTTTACACAGTGGAAAACCAAACAAAGCCGAGCCGAGTCGAGTCGAGCTGGTACTGTGTAGTGGAAAAGTGCCATAACATTCTACGACTGATCCCTGAACCAAGTTTCAGTAGATTTAGATGTATACTTTGAGACGGCTGTCCTGCAGGAAAGTCCAGAGATCATCAAGCTTCAGTCTCTGCACTGAAGGCATCATCATCTTTGCCAAAATTGCTTGATACTTCAAAGAATTCATGATGTCCTTCATATAGTCAAGCTTTCCACTTCCTGCAACAGCAAAGCACCCCATAACAAGACTGGACCACCTCCATGTTTGGCCATGTAGATGATGTTCTTCTGCTCGGAAGCTTTGCCTATTTTGCACCAGACACACACTGCTGATCCATGGGTCCAAAAAGTTCTAGTTTGGTCTCAGCACTCTATAAAATATTTTTCCAGAACTCCATAGGTCTATCCAAATGAATTTTAGCATATTCAAGTGAGCCTTTTGTGTTTTTCTTGTTCAAGAGTGACATTCAGCAAGATGTCCCAACATGAAGGTCATGCTTGTCTAGTGTACTTCTCAAATGTTTTTTCCTTCTTTTCTTTAGGTCATCTCCAAGTCTTTGGCTGTAAATAAAAGATAAAAATTCAGTTGGTCTGATCAAAAATTGTATTCCCCTTAATGATATTGTCCTTTTTTCTTCAACCCCCTTAAATGTTTTCTGGTACAACACATTTTAAACATATGAATAAGGTTGCCAGCTGTGTCTCTACTTTAGTGTTTTGGAAATCTTCTTGTAGCCATAGACTTTTGTTCTATAGCTTTTGTGAGAGCTCTTTTGACTTGACCATTTTTACTATGCAACTTTAGCACATGCATGGGCTAAATGTCAATGGCGCCACCAGGGGGTGGCCAGGGGTGGCCATGGCCACCCCTCGCCGACTCCTGGCCACCCCATTGGCCACCCCAATGGCCAGTATTAATTTTTGTAGCATCAGTTATGCATTTTATAAATAAGTCAAAAATATTCTTAACTAAAAGAAGACGGGGAATTATGTGTCGTGCCGTGCTTTTTAAGTGCCAAATGGTATACAGCAGCTTTTAGGTGTGTTTTTGCCACGTTTGGACAGGCAGGGAGGCAAACAGCGCGCTTTTCGGCGCCTCCCGCTTTTTTCACGTCAGTTTGGGTGACAAAGTCATCTGAAGTCATTCCATAGCTTAATGTGAGGGACAGAAGTATATTTACATCATTAAAATATAAACTCGTTTTCCCTCCTCTGCGACTGTCATCATTCTCCATTCATATTCAAACAGCACGCGCGCCTCTTGGATGCACGGTAAAACTCTCTCCAATATGATATATTGACATTATAAATGCATGATCTGTAGATAAAAGTCTGTATATTCGCATAAAATTACTTTATTTTCTTGGAGTTTGTTGCTGTTTTTAAGCGACTCACCGTGTTCTGTTAGATCACACATACATATCACAAGGATTATGAATCGGCATCAAACGCACAATAACTGTGAAACAAAGGAACAAATCGCACTTGGATTTGTGTGCTCAACATTTTTTCGATTTGACATGAGCTTTTAAATGCACACTTATGAAGCGCAGTGCTGCTGCACACTGTGACTCCATGTTGCTTTGAGCACATCATTCTGCACCCGCGATGTTTTTCATGTAATCATGCAAGAACGGGCTCAATCATGGGTTTGCGCACTGAAATATTATTAAAAGCCAATATATTTTGTTATACCTAGCCTGCTCAATACATTTTAAATAAGCATAATTTAATTGTATATAATTTATTTGTAGTTTAGGCTATGCACTTCTGACTTCTTGACAGTAATATATAAATATAAAATTGTGACATGATTGCCTGATTGAATTTTAAAAGAGAACTAATAGTAATTTGTTTTTATTAACATATTTAGATTTTATAAAATTACTGTGCAGATTTTTTCAAGAATTACTTTTTGCTGCTGATGTATACACTCATTAAGTGTATTAAAAATTCATAATACATGTATGTAATATTTAAAGGTGTTAACTGTAATCTTATCTTACACTGCAAACTAATAACTTAAAAATGATTAAATTCATCACAATTATGTAAGTATCTGGAAATTTGCTGTGGGGCAAGGACCCTTATATATCATATAATATATATCATTATATACAATGTAATATATATTAGTTGGGCCCTACTAATATCATTAGTAACATTAAATATTACACAATAAACCAAAGTATATCAGTAGGAGTTTCCTTAAGTCTTTCTGATAGTTTTCTACAGGCTGGTTTATTACAACAGTAGAAAACAATTCTGAAATTATGGTTTATACTGTAGTTTTGGTGTGCCACCCCAAGATTTTAACTGGCCCCATCTGGCCACCCCTACGAAAAATTTCTGGAGGCGCCACTGCTAAATGTATGGATGTGTAACAGCACAAGCTTATTCGGATTTTGTTATAAAGTTTACAAAGGCTCAATACACTCTTATATGTAGCATAGGGTTCATATGTGTAGCACACATATATGTAGCATAGGGTTCTTTACTCAACTCCAAAGGATATTTAATGCTAAAAAAAGGTTCTTTAATGAGAAGAAAGAACCCTTTTGGCACAAAGGTTCTTTAAAGGCTATTATTCGTTCAAATATTTCATTATTCTGCAACATTTTGTAGTATGTAATTAAATTGATGTTTATTAAACTGTTGTAGTAATCATGCTGATTTTGGAGGATAAAAACTGAAATGGCACTCTTTGTCTAATTTTGATTAATTACATTTTTTAACCCACATATCTTGAATTTTGTGATCATTCACATGCATTGCATTTTAGGGGTTCCAAATATGTAGCGCTTTAGAACCTTTAAAAGTTCTATATAGAACCTTTCCTTCTAAGAGGCTCAATAACATAATTTTGTACCATAGCATACAAATAAGTGACTTAAAACAGCAGCGTTGAATAGGGGTTGAATAATTATGATATAAAATAACTTAAAAGCATTACTTTATATATTGACATTATTACATTTAATTTGCCACTAAACTGTTAAAATAAATAAAAATAAAACTATCTTTTGAAAAGCTAACTTTTGTAAATTACTACAGTCTCCGGGGGGTTGAATAATTTGGATTGCAACTGTAGATTATTGATTTATCAGAACCATAAAAGATGGTTACCTATTTATGCATAATGGAATTATTATTCATGAATATTCATTATTTTTATATTCAATATCCCCACCAGTTTAATACAATGTGATTCAATGTTCAGGCGTCCCTGTGTACAGAATACTCCACAGAGTATAAAACTGTTGTTTAAATTCTTTGTTAAACTTTTAACTATTGTTGGTCTCTCTAACTATTCTCTATCTCTCTCTCTCTCTCTCTCTCTCTCTCTCTCTCTCTCTCTCTCTCTCTCTCTCTCTCTCTCTCTCTCTCTCTCTCTCTCTCTTCAGGATGAAAAACAAGTTGTGGTACTTTGAATTTGGCACCACAGAGACCATCTCAGCCACTTGTAAAAAGCTGAACGAAACCATTGAGGTGGAGGTGAGTCCAGGACATTTATCCCATCAATAGTGCCCTGTTTTACTTAAAAGTTGTAATTATATACAGCCACATTCACAGTCTTTTAACTGTGTATCGGGTCAGTGTGTCCACTGAACACTTCCTTCAACAAACTGAGATTCATTAATGCAGCTGGCTACAGTATCTACAGTAAACCTCAGCCAGCTCTTACGCATGGCAGTGTTGAGGGAACATGTCAGAACGTCTGTCTGAAAGCAAACAGTGGCAGATGATCTCTGTTGACATCATGTGAAAGTTGCACACTGGTCAGTTTATGCCTTTGGTTAGATGTACATAATGAAAAATGCAATTGTTTTTTGATAGTTTGATTTGAGCCAAATGTATGATTATTGTGCCATTTATTACTGATTTGAACAAGATTCTTTTTTTTTTTTTTTTTTCATTCTGGTGCATAAAAGCTGTACTTGAATGTTTACTACCTACATTAACAAAACTGCCAGGGGGCATTGTCAACATGGCCGCCAAGTGAACTGACTTGCCTTAAAGGGACTTTGATTCCGACCGAAGAGGCTGATGTTTCACAACTGTTATGAAATTAGAAGAGTTATGAAAACATCAGCAGTTAAGGAATTTGCATTAGAAAAAAAGCTGTTTCTTTCTTTCTTCCACTCTTGTGTGGGTTCTCAAGCAGATCAAGGCATCTCATTATGTCATAAACGTGTCAGCATTCGTCTTTTGAAGTTTGTGTACTTTTCCACTGTACTGACGCCCTTGGTTTGATTCGGGGTGGTCTCTGACATCATAAAATACTGTACAACATTTCTATTTTTGGATCGCCGGCAGGCATTTTCACATTTCTCTTGTCTGGAATGCGATTGTTATTGATGGACCCATCAAAATAGTTAAAAACATGGATAGTTTTTCATGCCTCAAGTGCTTTTATCATTCATTCGTATACAGTATTTATCATTATCAAAAGTGTCACTAAAGAGATTTATAATGTTACAAAAGATTTCTATTTCAAACAAATGCTGTTCTTTTGAACTTTCTATTCATCAAAGAATCCTAATTTTTTTTCCATTGTTTGCACAAGATATTAAGCTGCACAGCTGTTTTCAGCATTGATAATAATAAGAAATGTTTCTTAAGCCCCAAATCAGCATATTAGAATGATATCTGAAGGATCATGTGACACTGACGACTGAAAACTCAGCTTTGCCATCACAGGAATGAATTACATATTAATATATATTAAATTATAGTTATATTTAAAGCATAAGAGGCTTATTGTATCTATTTTTTTCTTTAGTCAAGAAATGTTCAACATTTTTTGTTTTCTCTGTTTCTCTCCCAGTGTGATGGCATCATCTTGGATCTCAGCAGCACGGCTCTGGAGGGTATCGCTGTGCTCAATATTCCCAGCATGCACGGGGGCTCCAACCTGTGGGGCGAGTCCAAGAAAAGACGGAATTACAACCGCATGAGTAAGAAAGTGCCAGAGAGAATGACTGGCAGCACTGTCACCGATGCCAAGGAGCTCAAGTTTTGTGTTCAAGGTGAGTCAGGTTTAGGACATAAACCGCCGAATTAGATCTGGGTTTCTCCTGAAATGTTCTTACAATCAAATCTCTATATATAGCAGGGAAATGATCACAGCATCATTTTTAAATTCAGCTGTTGCTACTGGCTGTTTGATTGTAGTGCATTTATGTGCAGATAACGAAAATTTACCGAAACCTCTGATTTCTTGTCACTTGTTACTACTGGCCATCTTCAGTAGATCAGCACACCATGTGGAGCTGTTTCATGCAGCTCTGACTCACAGCTGCCGTGGAGCTTTTAACCAATCGCTAATGAGCGGGAGCCTCTCCGGCTGCTCGTTACGCTGATGTTCAGTCTCACTGTGTTTTGGGACTTCCTGCTTTCATTTGCCAGAGTGTGAAGCACTATTAGCAGTGTTAATCATCATTTAGGGATAGCGCTATCTGTGTCAGCGCCTCACTGAGAATGTAGTCACAGTTTTTCCAGATCTCACAGAGGCTGGTGTCAACGTCCTACTAAATGTCCTTCAGGGAGTGTAAGTCACCACAAACCCCTTGCCTGGCGTCTCAGTCAGCTGTCTCAGTCAAGATGGGAGCTTGGATGTGACTGTGCCTCTCAAGGACAGAGCAACAGCAGCTGTTTCAGGTGGCAGTGAATCAGCCTTCAGCATCATGCATGTGTTTTGTCAAAGGGAAATTAAAATTCTTTCAATTTGAAATGAAAATTTATATCCCAGATGAAGGTACTCATATTCAAGGGGTATCAAGACTGACTTGACAGTACGTCTCTGGCTCTAAACTGCATTCAGTTTTAATCCAGCATACAAAAATCTGTGTTTTTAATTAAAATGGTGTTATAAGAAAATCTAGCTCTTTTAGACTGGTTGTCCTTGTATTGGTTGAGAGACTTTGTGGAGAGACTCTGTTTCTTTAAAGGTTGAAAACCCCTGAGCTAATGCGCTTTTGCGCAAACAATTTTCAAATGCTGATTTGCTGCTTAAGAAACTACTTATCTTTTTTCAGGATACTTTGACGCATAGACAGTTCAACAGTACAGAATTTATTTGAAATAGAACTGTAATAGAACTTTTGTAACATTATAAATGTCTTTACCGTCACTTTTGATCAATTTAATGTCCTTGATGAGTCTTACAAAAATGATTGATCCCAAACTTTTGAACGGTAGTGTAAATGCGACTTTATATTTTGTATATTTTGTTTATATTTTGACTAGGGATGGGGCCGATCCGATCCAGTATCGGTATCGGGACCGATACCAGCGTAATTCACGTATCGGATTTTTCCGATCCAACCTGCGGAGAAATCCGATATTTATGATCCATGTCTGCTGAAATGACTGCAAAAGGGATTCCCCGGGCCTGCTAGTCTGCTAGCTGGCTGCAAACTGTGGAATGGATATTCTGAACGGAGGTGCAGCTCAATCATAGACTGTAAAAAATAGGGCTCAATGAGACACACAGACCCCCACTCAGGAAATCCATTCCGCAGTTTGCAGCCAGCTAGCAGGATAGGATTGAGCTACCAACATGTTCGCTGTGTGGAAATACTTCACACTGGAAACACCGCAGCAGAGCAAGACGGCAAAATGCAATGTTTGCAAAGCCGTATTAATTAAACTATTTGTCTGTGATGCATGTTTGCAATTCGCAGTCCAGAAGAGAAAGAGAGAGATCTCTCACGCAGTCCCACAGCACGCACAACACGACAGCCCTGCTTAATGAGTGACGACAGAGGAAACGTAGCCTGGTTATATCTATGATAATAGTCTGATTTCCAAAGATTAAAGAATATATTGAGGTAAAAAACCATTAAAAACAATAGCCGCATTCTGTCTAGCCAACTTTCTTCCCATCGCGGCGGTGCGCTGTCATTTCTCCTTAATACTAAAACTTTAAGACAGAATCAGCACGATCTGTGATTGTTGTAAAATGCAGGCTCTGCTGTTGCTGATTTGCGGGACACTTTTAATAATAAAGAGAGCTATTAAAAGCACAACATTTGCACAAGAAATGCTGTTCCCAATGCGCGCGCGCTCCGAAACAGACTGCAACAAGACAAGCAAATTATAATCTGGGCTTCATATGCGCGTCTAAACAATCAAATGTAGCCTGCACAAGAAAAATGTCAAACCGACCGGCTTGGAGATTAACACTTAAACCGTTTATGTCTAAAATGAACGTAGTTATGGAAGTAGTTGGGAGAAAATATGGTGGATCAGTAGATATGAAATCTGAACTCGTTCTTAAAGGGGCAGCAGTATAAATGTGACGATTGCGACATTACTGAGAGTCAAACAACAAAAGGCAAAGAGAAAATCACTCACAGCTCTTGAATGAATTACTTCAGCTCTAATAAGCTTTGCAGTGCTATTTTACTTTTGATTACTTTATTATAATTCTTTTTAGACCGTACCTGAATAATGTTAGTAGACCTTCCTGAAATTAAAGCACTGTGTAGGCCTGTATAATGTGTATCTTTGTTTAATTGTCTATCTATTGTTTAATATATATACTGACATACATACGCACATATCATCCTTGCCTGTAGAGAGGAGTTTATTTCAACATCATATAAAATCAACAATAATGATAAATAATATTAAAGCAAACACAGCTCTGGTATCGGAAAAGTATCGGTATCGGCCGATATCCAAAGTCGGGTATCGGGATCGGATCGGAAGTGAAAAAATGTGGATCGGTGCATCCCTAATTTTGACTTTATTGGACTATTCCAGATAATTGCAACCTCTTAATTCCCCTTAGTTGTCGTTATGACTCTATATCTCCCAATTATGACTTGTTAAACTAAATCTCACAATTACTTCATTTTGTTATTTTACTATGTGGCGGTAACGGGCGTCAATATTTAGGTGAAAACATTGCGATTTTGACACTATTTTCAACACTATTTAATATACATCCTTCAGCTTCATCCAATGGGATTGTTTGTGCACAAAAGTGAGCATGCTTACAAACAAATGTTATATGCATGACAGCGCATAACAGAGCCCATATATGGGTTTCTAGTCAACATGAGCATTGAGTGGGAAGTAAGACCTTTGAGATGTTTTTGTTTTGTTTGCTTTTCTTTTCTTTTCTTTTTTTAGCTGACGTCAGTAAGTGACGGCTGTGACCTTCGAGAGCAGCATCTTGATTTTGAAATTTCTTCTGATGTATTTAGGCACCTCTGTCATTTTCGATGACCTGTGTGTTCATCACCTGTTCCTTCTCTCTCTCTCTGGTCGGTTTCAGTTCTCTTCATATTTACAACTCTTTCTGTGTGTGTGCTTTTCTGTACTCCACTGACTGACTCACATGAATCCATGTTACCATGGAGACCTCCAGGCCCTCCTGAACTGAGGAACAGCATATAGGGCCTGAAAGAGAATGAGAGAGAGAGATAAAGAGTGGGCTGCTGTGAGCAGTGTGACTCATATCAGTAATCTTTAACTGGCCTTCAGGCACAAATACTCAAGCACTGCATACAGCACATACAGTAGAGGTCTTTAGCCACATCCTATATAAAGTAACTGGGTCTCTCTGTCGGTTAGTTAGATAGTCTAATCATTTGCATGAAGCAATTAGTGCTACGGGGTTTCTGAGAAATCAACAGTCATGTAGGTGATGCAGACTCACTCCACATATTTAGATGGCACAGGTTACATGACTTGCTGTTTACAGCTGTAAGATCATGACCTCATATCCACCTCTATGGAGTATATTTTGTGGTTTACATGAATAGAAAATTCCTCTTCTTCGCTCTACGCAACAATTTGCACATGACTCAGGTCCTAAGGGATGTCTACATTTGACTGTTGTAATAGTAGGAGTGTTATTATAGACCTGTGGCACTAAGGGCCATATTTTAGCGATCTGAAACGCAAGTATCAAGCACGAATTACAAGTAACTTTGAGGGCGGGTCTTGGGCGCTATTGCTATTTTACCGGCGGGATAAATGACTCTTGCGCCCGACGCAAGTTTAAAAGGGGTTGGTCTGAAGTAGCCTCATTATTCATAGGTGTGGTTTGGGCGTAACATGAAATAAACCAATCCAACACATTCTCACCCCAAGGCGTCACCTTTGACCATGCTTCAATATTTGACGTTTTAGGCGCCCTTTAACGTCACCTACATGACGCGATCCTACGGCGTCATCTAACTGACGCTAAAGGAAAGCGTCAGTTAGAGGACGCGGTTAGGTTTAGGTGTGGGGTGGGGGTAGGGTACACGCGATCCTAGGGCGTCATCTAACTGACGCTAAAGGGCGCCTAAAGCGTCAGATATTGAAGCATGGTCAAATGCTTCCCAAGGCGTCAGTTAGGTGACGCCTTGGGAGTGAGAATGGGCTGACCAATCAGAGCATCATCCAACATACCCTTTAAGTGCAGGTGCACGGCGGGTTGTTCTTATAAGAGCGCACGCCAGGAGCGTTCACAGCCGATAAGACTGCCGTTCTTGTCAGGGCAGTGAAAGACAGAGAAGTGATGTTGTATAGCCATGGGAGAAGCCTCATGCGTCGGTTAAACATTGTATACATGTTTCTTGGCACTATTGGGCAAACAGGTCTGATCCTTCAGTACTACAATTAGCCTTACAAAATTACCCAATTTTGTAATTGGGTTTTTTCATCTTCATGGGAACCACAATGATTTCCCTCATGTGTAAATAGTTCCCTATCGAGGGAACTCAACACTGCGTCGATAAAATCGACTCTTTGGGGACGCTCCCTAAGCGTGCGCCTCTGAAGTATGAATGAAACTAATCCAATCCTGATTGGTGTTGCGTCGTGACGTAACATGTGACGGCATACCCGGAAGTATAAAAGTGACGCTGTCACAACACACACTAGCTTTCGCTCTTCAGCAAGCGCTTTATGTTGAAACTGTTTGTCTTATTTGGTGTTGTTTGTCTTATTATTGAAAAGAATGGCCAGTGAGCAGTTCAAGAAGTGTGTGCATCCCTGCCCTCGTTACATCACGGGTGGGGACGCACAC